TCATCTTGCGAGGCAGGTGTGTGAGCAGACACCACAGATCTGCTAGAGAAACCTTCATTATTTAAGGATGCCCATTTAATTTCACTTCCAGCTCTTTGTGCTCGCTGAGAACAGGCTCAGTGCAGTACTCCTGCTCCAGCTTGCTTTTATAGAAAGGGTTTGAATGACGCTGGATGGTAGGAGGGTTTGAGCAGGCTCTTTGAGGCCATATGTAAAGATTTGTTTGCATGTTTCCCCTGATGAATATCCATGACTCTGGTAGCAGGCAGACAGCTCATAATGTGAACGTGCCAGCTCACACCTGATGCAGGTGTTTAAAGCATGAGCAGTGCAAACTCAAGGCCGTAACTCTTTAAGCAGGAGCACAGACTTGGCTGGGTACCCATGTCAGGCTTAACGAGCTGTGCCTGAGGGAATAATTAAGTTTGTCTGCAAGTGTGAAGATTTTTTTGGTGGTAATGAAGAAATCATTGGTTCTAAGTAATTCTCAGCACCTTTGTAAATTCATTGTGTAAGTGGCTGTGCTTTGTTGTTGTTGAGGGAAACATAAACCTTTTAGCCTCTGTGTGATCAGCCTTCTACAAACTTTGAGAGCATATTTTGTCAGATAAATACATCTCAGGGATCTAGAAATGATGAGAACATTTTTTTTTTTTCCTCTAACATCCCTCGGATTCACACAAAGATAGGCATGTGGGTTAAGCTGTGAATGTGGCGTCTGACAGGTGAGTATTTTCACGGATAAAAATTCCTGTCCCTCTGCTGAGACTGGTTTTATCTCCTTGTGGTAACTTTGTTCCATCTGGGAATGAACATGGAAGAGGTAATCTTGCAAGCAGCAAATCAGTACAGTAATTAAAGTGTGTGTATGTGTATATGTGTATTTATTTGTATCAGGCTGGTGTAATAGTGAAGCTATTCTGACTTTGTAGGTAAGGTTCTCATTGCTTTGTTCTTACTAGACCTTTTTTCCTTAAGAATTCACCTTAGCTCAGTTTCATGCAGCAATATTTCTGGGCAGCCATTCACAGTACCCTAATTACAAAGGAAATTACAGAGGTTGATGTTGAGTAAAGGGAATTTTGCTATTAATATGTAGCTGAATTAATCAGCTAATATGTAAATCAGCCTAGAGCAAGGCCTTTCAGTAACGTGAATCTGGAATTAAGTAGAAACGATTCTTTGCACTGAAAATCCACTCCAGCAAATGACTTTTTTCTTCCAAATCCTCAGCAGCTTGTTAATGTTTGCTGTGTCTGTGTTTCCGTGCTCCAGATATTCAGAGAGAGGAGGAAAAGGTGAAACGGTCGATAAAGGATGCTGCCAAAAAGGGTCAGAAAGACGCGTGTGTGATCTTGGCAAAGGAACTGATCCGCTCTCGGAAGGCCGTGAGCAAACTCTACGCATCCAAAGCTCACATGAACTCTGTTCTCATGGGGATGAAGAACCAGCTTGGTAAGAACGGCTCAGCCTGAGTACGGGGACTTTCCCTGCTCTCCAATTTCTATTTGCAGCACCGAGGTTAAATACAGGATGAGCTGGGTGAGCTTGGATGTGGAAGCAGAGCTGCTCTTGTTAAAGGCATCTGGGAGTGCTGGGCTTTGGGATCTGGGGAAATTCCTCCTGTACCAGGCCTGGAGGCGTACGGCTGCTGCGGGTCCGTGTCTGCGCGTCCAGCAAGGCTGGGCACCTGCCCCCAGCAGGCAGAGGCACTCACACAGTCACAGCAGTGACTTTACCCGTAATCACACGCTGGTTTTGCACAAACCTGAGCAGCACTGACAGCCTCGTCCTGATATTCTGCTCCAGTTGATTAGGACTGACATCCATGAGTAGAGTGAATACACAACACACATATATATGTATGTATGGACTCATATACGTCGAGGGAATCCAGAATTCAGTCTGGAGTTTGTATTAACTTGCTCTTCAGCTCAAGCAATGACTGCAGAAGTCAAGATTTCTGTCAGTTTGGTAACATTGTAAGTGTAAGGTTCTTAATGGTAGAGAAATGAAGTATTACTGTGAGAAGTAACATGCTGTAACTTCATTTGCTTCATTAAGGAGTGACCATGTTAACCACAAACAGGTACGTTAGCCATGACTAGGAAGCTGCAAGTTCAGATGAGAGAACTCAAGGACCTCAGAGAAGTCTTAACTATTATGCTTTGATCATGGTACATCAACATGTGTGAGAAGAGCCTATAAGCTTAACGTATAAGCTACGTTAAGAGAACAGCTTCTGGAAAGACTTTTTGGTAAATCCAGCTTAAACTACACATTTTTAGTGTATCTACTTCAGGGTTATTTTTCCAGCTTATCCTTTGCTGTGAAGCTGTTTCACTAGGACTTCTGCCAGAGTTTCTACTACCTGGGCAGAAGGTCGCTGGCTTGGTCAGCAGTTAGATGTGGAGCTGGACTGCAGCAATGCTGGTGGGCACCTCTGTAAGACCTCTGGCTGCTGAGGAGGGCAGAAGCTCCTCAGGGATCTCTCTTCTATGAGCTGCGTCCACCTGGGTGGAAATCTCTGCTGACAATCTGGCAACTCCAGCTAATTGTACGGGAGCTAGATGCTTGGTTTTTTCAGATGTTGTAAGGAGTTGAGCTTTTCAGGGAAGGTAGACAAGGATAAAACAGAAAGATATACGTTTAAAAATGCCTAAACTCAAGTTTCTATAACAGGATATGGTTTCTCTGCTTTTGGTGGTGCCTGGATTGTTCAAGCTTTTCTGCCTCTCCTTCACAGCTGTCCTCAGAGTAGCAGGCTCATTGCAGAAGAGCACAGAAGTCATGAAGGCTATGCAGAACCTAGTAAAATCCCTGAAATCCAAGCAACAATGAGAGAATTGTCCAAAGAGATGATGAAGGTAAAATCTGTAACTTAAATGAGAGACTTGGGTGAGCAAGAGGTGGCTGAGCAGCGTGCTGGAGCGCTGTGCACCTGCTTAGATAGTCTGAGGGAGGGTGTCTGGTGTAGCTCTAAGGAGCAGAAACGAAGTAGCACGTTTACTGGCGGGAACTTTGCAACAAGTTCCTTTCTGTAGGGAGAACTGTGACTTAGTGATACCCACATGTGCTTGGTGCAAAAGCTTACAGCAGAAAAAGCTGCTGAAGAAGAGGGTGGAAGGAGGAAGGTTGTTCCTGTACAGAGGAGTTGTGGTTGGTGGTCCCAAGGGCTTGGGGAACCACGGCTTGAGGCAGGATTCACGCCCACACCCCAGTGACTGCCCTGAACCCTGAGCTGTTCGGAGGGAGAGCAAATTTCCTGCTCTCAAAGAGGGCAGCGTTCGTTACAGGACACCCACCACAGCCCGTTGTAGAGTGGGAAAGTGAAAATCCCATCTGAGGCAAAACAGCCATCTTGGTGCTGGTTTTAGAACACCTAGCGTGGTGTCTCCATCTGATGGAAGTGCTCTGATTTTATAGCGTACTAGTTTCTTATTGTGGTTATTTTCAACTGCCAAAATCTTGTTCTTTTCTCCTCTTACATGCTGCTCAAGATTGGTTGGGTGAAACCAGCTTGTTTCTTAACAATTTTATGACTGTGCACCAGAACAATCTGGCCATATATGGGCTGCAGGCCCTGCAGGGGGTGTTCTGAAATGCAGATAGAAAAAAGGAAAGTTTATGTGAGACCTAAGTTGTAAAACAGGCTGCAAAATGTATGCTTTGTGATGGAAGCATGTGAAATACAGCTGCATCTGCGACTGCAGACGTGCAGTAACCGGGGTTGTAGATATGCAGAGATGCAACAGCAGTGAGTAAGAGCTGTGGGGTCTAAATGTGGGAACACACAGCTCATTTTCAGTTCTCTTACTGCTTTTCTTACGCACCAGCTGTACAGATGCAGGCTTAAACTGTAGGTGAGCGTGTTGGGCAGCCCTCGTGCAACAGAGCAGCCTTGTTCAGGAAAGCTCGAGCAGCAGACGAGCAGCACGCCTGTGGCAGTTGTTAAATGCCTGGGGTAGGCACAACCTGATGCTGACAGGGGGACCTGTCCTCTCTGCTGCTTCCGAGGCCATCACGTGCTGCCCTTTTGTTTCCTGGCAGGCTGGCATTATCGAGGAAATGCTAGAGGACACCTTTGAAAGCATGGAGGATGAGGACGAAATGGAGGAGGAAGCAGAGATGGAGATTGACAAAATCCTTTTTGAAATTACAGCGGGTGAGTCTGCGTGTGTTTGCGGAGCGAGGAGCCTTCCTCCTGCTCTGTTAACTACGAAGGTGCTACGCTTTAAACTTCCATCTGTCCTGGCTTAACAACTGTGGCCTCCCAGAGGTGCCTTTACCTTCCCTAAAAGCGAAGGAGTGCCTGACAGACTGGTTTCAGGGAAGGCGGGTGGTGCAGCCAGCGAGGTTCAGCAAAGCATGAACAATAAAGCAGCAGCTGAAGTCCCTGCAGTTTATCATTTAGGCTTGACCAGATTCCTGTCTGCATTGGCTGCTTTTAACAAGGTAAAATGTGTGTGCCTGGGCAGATAGATACACTACTGTTAATGAAGCCAGGGAATCAACTTTGCTTCACTGCCTCAGTTCCTAGGCTGCCCTGGGATTTCTGGCTGTACAATGCCGTTCACGACTTGAGCAGCTGAATAATAACTAGGCAAACAAAAGCTCCTGCCTTACACCTCGTGAGGTGCTGAGCTGCTCTTTTAGCTGTTTGACTTGGGCGATGCTCAGACTGCTCTTTACCTGAGTTTCTTGTGAAAGGGGCTGGTGCTTGCAGTGCCAGAGCAGCGC